GGGCCCGGGGCGGGCGGCAGCAGGTGGGTAAGTCCCGGCGCCAATGAGCAGGCGCTGGGCTCCCCTAGCAACAGTGCCCGCGCCAATGGGCGCCGCCAGCCGCCCGCGCCGCTGCCCGCAGCCCTGCCCGCCGCCCCGCTGGGACCGGCCCTCCCGGGCGGCCCTGCCCCGAGCTCTGCACCGGCCCGGCGTGGGCTCAGGGCACAGAGCAGCACCCCGCTGCCCTCCTGCCACTCCACCGGCCGTGCTGAGCCGTGCCAAGGCATGCCAAGCCAAGCTGTCCCCACACCGGCCAGCCAGCCGTGCCCTGCCCCATCCCCGGCCCCCTGGGGTGGCAGAGCCCTGCTCTCACCCCACACAGCATCACCCAGCCCCACCAGGGCCGGCTCGTCGCTCCTGGGCTCTGCGGGTAAAGTCCAATCCTGCTTAGCATCCCCTCGGGGCCCCGCACTTGGCTGCCCGCTCTGTGCCCGCCCGCTTCCTTGGGATTAGGCTCTGTGCTTGGCTTTCCCACCGGGATTTGCCCTAGCTGGTGGTTCCTTCCCCAGCCGGAGGGAGGGAGGAGGCCAGTGGAGTCCGTCCGGGCAGCAGCGAGGTGCTGGGCAACAGAGAGCCGTGAGGGCAGCCTCTGCCCTCTTCCCTGCTCCTTCTCAGAGCACTGTTTTTGTGAGCTGTCCTGAACTGGCTGCTTTAACTTGGCACTGGGAAGGAGTGATGCTGGCCTGGGGACAATCAGTGACAATAAACCCATTCTAAACCAACTGAGCCTTTAAAGGGACTACGGGGGCAAAGGGATGCTGGAACTGGCTCCAGGTGGGAGCAGGCAGACGGCCGCTGTAATTAGGTTTAAACTGGAGCTGGATCAGTCTTTGCAGGGGATTATGACCCCTCCGTCTGTGTAGGCGCTGCGGGGGGCCTAGTAATGCTTGCTCAGCGTCCTGGCACAGCTGCAGCATTAGGGGTGAGCCCTCGGGTAAGGAGCAGGAACATCTAGGGCTGGTGCCTCTCTGGCCCCATAGGTTGGCATGGGAGGGCTGGACCCAGTGTGGAGGCCCAATTTGTTTTTAGAAGGACACTAGGAGCTGGAGCAGAGATGAAAAATAGCCAGAAATATGATTAGAGGATTGGAGAAAATGCCTTGGAGTACAAGCTTAAAGAGCTCAATCTGTTTAGCCTATAAAAATAGAAGACTGAGGGGTGACTTAATTACTGAGCATAATTACTTCACAGGCAGAAAATACCAGGTTGTGGAAGTCTCCAGTTAATCAAGCAGGAAAAGGGTGCTGGAGAGCCACGGGCAGGAAATTGAAGACACAGACAAATTATAAAACAACATGAAGCTCCTGGGGGTGCAGGCAGGTTCTCTGGGGACAGTGCATCCCTTCAGCCACACGCTGTGTGATGGTCTGCACCCCCACCAAGGAGGCTGTTTCCCCATTCCCTCCCTTCCCATAGTAGTGGGGGGACAGAGCAGGATTTCTGGTGGCTGAGCGCTGAGTGGTGGGATTGCTTCCGGGCACATGCCAGTGGTGTCTCCATTCCCCTTGTCTCTTTCTCACCAGGTGGGGCGGGTGCCGGAACACAGTTTTGCCGGCAAGCCATGAGGCAGGAGTGGAGATTTTGATGCCTCTCCCAGGAGTCCCCAGAGCCATGACTGCAACTGTGCAGACGCTGCGGTTCAAGCTGCTGCCGCACGAGCCAGGCCAGGAGTGGGAGCCCAGCTGCCAGCAGGAAATCGAGCGTCGCTACCAGGTGGTGCCCTCGGTGGTGTGCGCCATGTGCTGCCTTTTTGGCATCATCTACTGCTTCTTTGGTGAGCCAGGCCAGCCCAGCAGCTGGTGGGGCAAGCAGGGAGAAGGGCAGGGGGGAGCTGGGGGTGCTTTCCATCCACTCCCTGACTGCGGTGGTCTCTCCATAGGCTACCGCTGCTTCAAGGCCGTCATGTTCCTGACAGGGCTGATGTTCGGCTCCATCATCATCTTCATGCTGTGCTACAAGGAGCGGGTTCTGGACACACAGCTGAGCGTGGAAGCCTCAGTGGGCATTGGGCTGGGCATTGGAGTCCTGTGTGGGCTGGTCACCATGCTGGTGCGCAGCGTTGGCCTCTTCATGGTGGGGCTGCTCCTGGGGCTGCTGCTGGCGGTGGCCACGCTGGTGGTGATGGAGCAATTCTACCACCCGCCGACAGTGTGGATCCCCATTGCACTGCTCCTGGGTGTGGGGATGCTCTTTGCCGTCCTCACCCTGCAGTGGCAGCGCTTCTTCACCACCCTCTCCACCGCCGTCTTTGGGAGCGCCATCATGACCGTCACTGTCGACTACTTCATCGAGCTCTTCCTCCTGGTGCAATACATCTACGAGCGCATCAAGGTGGCCCCTGCTCGCCCCGTGTGCTGGTATAGCTGGGTCATTTTGGGCGTTTGGCCACTCCTCACCACACTGGGTGTCCTGGTCCAGTGGAAGGTCACAGGCGAGGGCTACTCTCATACAGAAGGTGTGTGGGGACTGGGGGAGATTTGCATGCGCAGGGTGAATGGAGGAGCCAGGGACGCTAGGGACCGGGGTGGAGGTTCCCAGCACCTGGTGTGCATGGACAAATATGGGTTTTGGGACTCTGGCGGCACAACACTCAAAGGGAGGCTTGGGTGCACAAAGCTGGGACTGGTTTGGGTGCGGAGATCATTTGGGTGTGCTTCCCAGTGCTCACAGGCCCCTCTGCTCCACAGTGATCATCAGCCGGCAGCAACGCCGGGTGCAGCTGATGCGCATCAAGCAGAGGGAAGACCGAAAGGAGAAGAAGAAGAAGCGGAGACCCCACCATCCGCCACCCCACCAGCACAAAGCCCACCCACCAGAGCCTGCTTACCGCCGCAAGCCCAACCCTGTGCGCCGCTTCGATGGGGACGTGCTCTCCCCTGTGAGTCCCACAGCCAGGGTATAGATCTCCCCCAGACTCCACAGCCCTTCCTTCTCCATGTGGGTGGGCTGCGGCGTGGAAAGGTGTCCAGGCACCTCAGTTGACATCTGAGCACCTCAAGGGATGAGACTGGGGCATCCCAGCTGCCTGGGACCAGGCAGCTCAGGAAGGGCTAAGCTAGGACATTACCACCACAGAGCAATTCAGCCTTTGGAAGGAAATGAAAACTGCTGGCTGAAGCACTGTGGGCATAGTAGAAACAGGTGGTAGGCGAGGTGTGAAGTGTGTGCCTAGGGAAGGCATGAGACTCTGCACCCTGCTCTGGCCCACCCCTGGAGGGCCCGAGTGCTGGGGATTGCACAGGGCTGTTTCAGGGGAGAGGATGGGAAATGCTGCTGCAAAGTTTAGGGTGGAGTGGGGTGGAGTGAGCCAGGAGCAGAGCCCCTCTCATTCTCTGTTCCCCCTCTCTCAAGCAGAGCTATATCCAGAGTTTCCGGGAGCGGCAGACGGGACCATCTCTGAACAGTCTCATCGCCAGCTCCCACGCCGTGGTGGACCTGGACTATGACTGCAGCTCCACCGTGCCCCTCACCACAGGCTCTGGCCCTGCTGTGAGGGTATAAGCCAACCCAGTGACCTCGAGCAACACCAGCACCCCAGCCTGCTCCGACAGAACCCCTGGGACAGGCAGGGCTGTGTCTTCGGCCTCAGATGGCCACGTGCAGCTGGGGGCTGCAGATGGAGACCCTTCTTGGAGACATGTGGGACTTGTCTGGGAAAGCTCTAGCTGCCCATGAGATCCAGAGGTGCTGGGGAAGCCCTTCGACAGGGACTCAGCCCAAGGGCCAGCACCCATGGACATGCAGTGCGAGTGGCTCTGCTGGGGTGGTGGGTCTCTGAGCCCCTACTGCTGCGTGTTACCCTATGGTCTGGGCACGCTCATCCTGCATCCTAACATTTCCCTCCCCATATTTGAGCCCCCCTTTCCCAAGAGCAGCTCCCCATGCCTGCCCCCACCCCATCGCACCACCCAGCAACTCCCCAAGTGCCTGTCCCCTACGTCCCTTCCTCAAAGAACAGGTCCCACAGCCCTTTTCCCCACAGGAACTCCCCTGAGCATGTGTGCCCTGTCCCACCCTGGCCCCAAGAGCAGCTCCCAGGCAACATTTCCCAAAACCTGCCTCCTCAGAAGGTCCCCCTGCCCTAGCCACCGTTCCTACACCCCAGAGCAGCTTGCCACTCCCCTTTTTCCCAAGCTGGACCGGGGTGATCCTGGGGCAGAGACTGCCAGAGCCAGGTGGTTCCCAGCGTGATGCTGGCAAGTGGTGCCTGTCCAGCGGGAGTTGCGCTGGCGGGGTGCATCCCCCGCAAAATGTTTTGATGGGAGACAGGACACTGGCTCCAGCCTTTGGGCGGAGGCTGGGCTGCCTCAGGGATGCGGGGACCCCTGCAGTGTCAGAGACCGTCGCTGTTTTGCTGGCGACTGGATTTTTATAGTAGCCGGGGGGGGCCCTGGGGCAGGGCAGGGCAGGAGCCCCTGCCCAGAGCACTGCTGAGGGCAGAGGCTCACGCCTTGTATATATTTCTCTTGCTGTGATTTGTATTAACTTATTATGGAGTGAGCCAGGATTTCCCCATGGCCAGGCAGGCAGGATGGTGGTGAGACTGGACCAGGGAGCCCCCTACTTTGGGAGCCCCCCACAGCGCAGCCCAGCTGGCCCCGCTGCCCCAGGAACTGCATGTTTCTGCCAGGCACCCCCTCTCCTGCAGCGTCATGCTGCCATCTCCTTTTCAGTCTCTTTTGTAAATGTGCCAAATGCTGCTGAGGCCTCGGCCACACAGTAAAGAGCCTTTCGGAGTCCGGCGTGTGAGGCCAAGGGCTGCGCCGGGGGCAGGGGTGAGGGGCGGCCCCAGGGGCCAGGCTCCCAGGGATGCTGAGCAGGATGCTGGGTGGTGCCACCACCCCTTCTCTTAATGGGACCCTGACTCGCTGGCGTGAAAGAAACCATGTCAGAAAAAAAGGCTGTTTAATGCAGAGCCCTGAGGCTGGAGCAGGCACGGGATGGTGTCCGTGTGTCTGTATGTGGTGGGGAAGCGTGACCCCATCTCCCAGCAGCAGCATCAATCTGTCTGTGTGCAGGCCCTGAGTGCTGCATCCTGGCTTCTAGCTCCCTGTGGGAACAATGGGAGTTAGAGAGCTGGAGCATTGCCAGAGCTGGTGGGGCACCCAAAAAGTGTATCCCAGACAAGGAGGAACAGATCCCTGGACCCATATCCAGCCTTTTCCCCCCACACCAGCACTCAGACTCTTGCAAGCAGTGGGGCATGGGGACAAGGCTTCTGGTGTCCCTCCACTGCAAGGCAGATCAGCACTGCCAGCCCCCAGTGGTGCCCCCCTAGGTGCCCACTTACCCTCTACCAGGAGCCGGGCAGTGGAGCGGTCATCAAAGGCATCACAGGTGTATGAGTCCTCATCCTCCGGCTCCACGCGGTGGATGATGAGTGTGCGGTAGCAGTCCAGATTGCAGATCTCGTACTTGTCACCAGCAAAGATCTCGGTGTCCCCACGGAGCCAGCGCACCCGGCCCCGGGCGTGGGACACGGTGCACTCCAATGTCGCCTTGTGCCTCGCCAGCACCGTCTTGTCCCGCAGCGGCTTCACAATCCGGATGGGCAGCGCTGGCAGGAAGGGGCAGGGTGTCAGCATTGCGAGGTGAGTGGGCTCCCATGGGGATACCACAAGCTGACCTGGTGCACCCCAGCCCTGGTGCTGGAGCCCAGCCTGACCTCACCGCCCACACTGGTACCTTCCACATGCAGACTGGCCTCAGAGATGGCTGCCCCAGCTGCAAAGCGGATGAGTCCCTGGTCCTCAGGGCGCACACCGCAGAACAACAGGAAATGGCGGGTCCCTGGGGAGGGAGAGGCTGGCTCAGTTGGCACCCATAGCAGGTGGGGGCAGAGATCCCCTTTTGTCCACACAAACTCCCATTGCTTGAATTCATCCCCTCCCAGCCCCAAACCAGGTGTGGGACCACCTGCAACCCCACCTTCTTGCCGTGTCTTCACTGTGCTGGAGACCTTTATTTTCTCACTGTCCCGGAACCACTCGCCCTTCACATCCTCATGTGACACCTCACAGGTGAAGACAGCATTGTCACCTTCCCGCACCTGGACCTCCTGCAGCTCCTGCACAATGTGGACCTGGCGCTCTGCAAGTAAGGGACAGGATGCCAGGGCAGCCAAGGGTGAAGGGGAACAGGCTGTGTAGGGTTTGGGGTTGCACAAACCCCCAGGAGCTGAGTGACTGTACCCTGGACATGCAGCATGGCAGAGGCCTGGCAGTCGCCTGCATCGCAGGTGTAGCTGCCTGCGTCGGCCAAGTCACAGTGGCTCAGCTGCAGGATGCGGCGCCGGCCCGCTGAGTAGATGCGGCAGTGGGGCCCTGGCCGCAGCTCCTGTCCATCCTGCTCAGGGAGAGTGTGCTCAAGGGTGCAAGCAGGCAGCACCCTGCTGCTTTGCCCCCATCTGCCCTGCCTGCAGCCCTGTCAGGGAGGGCAACAACTGGAGGACAAAGCAGGGAGGAGGACATGGCCACGCACTGCTGGAGAGGATTCGGGCAAACCCTCACCTTGAACCATTTCACCTCTGCATTGGAGCGAGACAACTCACATTCAAAGCTGGCGACCCCTGTCTCTGGGACCCCCAGGTCTCGCAGGACCCTCACCATAGTGACTGGAGGCTCTGAGGAGGTAGGACACAGGGCAGGAAGGTTTGGTAGGGCAAAGACACGCAGAGAAGGGTATCTGTGCCTGGATCATTTCAGCATGGGGTGAGTGGCACTTAAGGCACCACCATGAGCAAGCACTCAGTGGTGGTCCAGCCACCTCTGAACCCAAACCCTGGCTGGACCCACTGCCCAGCTCACATCTCCTCCCTGAGGAGAGGGCGACACTTGCCAACATGTGCCCAGAGTGGCTCAGCTCAGTTCTGGAATCTCCCCCAGTACTGAACAGCTGCAGGACAGACAGTGCCAGTGCCATGCACCCCAGCCTGCCCCAGGGACCGTACCCCGCACACTCAGGCGGGCACTGCAGCGCAGGGTGTCAGCAGTGAAGGTGATGGTGCCTGAGTCTTCCAGTGCCAGCCTCTCCAGTGTCAGGCTGTGCCCACAGCCCGTGGCGCTGATCCGGCATGTGCCACTGGGCTTCACCCGGATGCCATCCCGTGTCCAGACCCCAGGCACGTGAGGGTGAGACAACTCCAGGTGGAAGGTGGCTGTCTCCTTCTCGAAAGTCTCCACATCTGCCAGTGGTGTCCGGATCGACACCTTCTGGGCTGTGAGAGACCCATGTCCATGAGTAGGTGTCTGCCCAGCCCCTGGGTCCCCAGTCTGCACTTGCTGGAGCAGTACTCTAAATCCAACCGTTTATACCAGGCTCCCACCCTTGCCCACACACTCATCTACCTCTCTGGTCAACAACATTCCAGCCAAGGATCAGCTCTGCCCACACTCTCCCATTGCAGCAGTTGGGTGCCCTCCCCATTCCCATCCCCATCCATGTCACCTTCCATCCCCATCCCCAGGATGGTACTCACGCTCCACACAGAGCTTGGCCTGTGTGCGGTCATGCAGGCTCTCACAGCGGTAGGTGCCACGGTCAGCAGGGCCAAGGCAGCGGATGGTGAGGGTGCGCAGGCACCCCGACTCCTGCAGCACGTACTTGCTGCTTGGCTGGAGGAGGACACCCTGCTTCAGCCACTGCACCTCAGCGGCCTCGTGGCTCACCTCCACCTCCAGGCACACGTCCCCCTGCTCCTCTGCCACCATATCCTGCAGCTTCCGCACAAACAGCACCTGTGCCTCTAAATGGCCCATATACTGGGTCAGCAGCTGGCCCCAGGGCTGTGCCTTGGGCTGAGCCCCACCTGTCTCCTTCCCCCTCACCTTGCACACTCAGCCGGGCCGTGCTCACCAGCCCCTCGGCGTTGGCTGTCACAGTGCCTGCATCCCCTGGCTGGCACTGCCGGAGGGTGAGGCTGTGGCACAGCCCGCTCCTTGTCACCAGCAGCCGCTTGCTGGGGACCACAGGCTGGCCATTCAGCTGCCATGTCACAGCCACATCCTCAGGGGACACCAGGCACTTGAAGGTGACATCCTCCCCCTCCAGCACTGTCAGGCTCTGCAGCTCCATGATGATCTCCACCACTCTGGGGACTACAGCCAGGGTGTCAGGGCTCAACACAAGGGACCCCCCATCCTGCAGAGCCGCTGAGCATCCCTGCAACCCTGACATCACTGTGCCCGGCTTCCCTGGACCCCCATGGCATAAGGGTCCCTGGAGTGGCGGTCAAGCCTTGGGCTCACCCTGCACTGTCAACGTTGCCAGCGTCTGGTCGTCGTTGGACTCGCAGCAGTACTCGCCAGCGTCCCCAGGCTCCACATGGCTCAGCACCAGCGAGCGTTCCCGTCCCTCTGCCATCATCTGCCGGTGGGGGCCAGGTGCCAGCACCCGCCCATCCTTCCGCCACACCACATCGCCCCGCGGCTTGCAAAGCTCGCACCACAGCACCACCCGCTCACCCTGCCGTGCTCGCACATCTGACAGCCCACGCAGGAATTTCACCTGCAGCTCTGCACAGTCAAACCCCCCATGTCAGCACCTGCTGCCACAGCAGGGGTTCCCCGGGAACGCCACTGCCCCCCCCAGCTGCCCACCTCTGACGCTCACATCGAACTGCATCTGGTCGTGGGGTGAGAGGCAGGTGTAGATGCCGGCGTCCTCCATGGCCACACTGTGGAGGATGAGGCTGTGCACGCGGCCCTCCCGACGCAGCTCGCAGCGCTCACCACTCACCACTGCTTGCTGCGGGCCCAGCCAGGTGACATCAGATCGCTCTGTGGAGGTGATGGCAGAAAGCACAGCACTGCCACCCTCCAGCACCAGCAGCTTCTCCTGCTCCTCCCGTTTGTTCACGAACAACATGGGTGCCTCTGTGCCATGGGAGCATTGGGGTCAGCCGTGCCCCTGGCAGCGGCACCAGCATGGAATAGGGGTAAATCATGCTGGCATGAGGCAGTGGACCGCTCCTGCCCCTGACATGGCTGAGGGACACCTCCAGGCTCACCTTTCACATGCAGTGTGAAATGCACCTCATCATCACCAGCATCGCAGAGAAAGATGCCACCATCACCCAGCTCCGCTTGCTTGATGGTGAGGCTGCGTGTGGGACCCTCACTGCACACCAGCAGCCGCCCACCTGAGCACAGCCTCTGTCCATCCTTCTGCCACTGCACTGCCGCTGTCTCCGGGGACAGCCGAGCCACCAGTGTCACACTGTCCCCCTCCTGTACCTCCAGCGGGCTCTGCGCTTCCTCCTTGTTGACAATGCACACAGGCCGAGCTGAGGGGCACGGGACAAGACAGGGCTCAGGGGTGTCCCCATAGTGTGGGGCAGTGCAGGGGCAGGACCACTGCAAGCAGAGATGATCCCTCAGTGAGTTACTGCAAGGCAGGAGGACTCTGAGGCTGGCTGGAGGTCATAGTGGGACCAGACAGGGGTCCCAGAGGGGCAGGCATGCAGGCTAGAGGGGTCTGGCAGCTCAGAGTCCACTCAGGGAACTCAGGTTGTCAGCACAGCCTGTCACTCCTGCATCACTCCCTGCACAGGCAGCTCAGCTGCCAGGTTGGGACCATTAATTTTGGTGCGCCCCTCCACCCTGATCACCTTGCTGGGGAGCCAGGGTTCCTGCCTGCACCAGACCCTCTCCCACCCGCCCAGCCCTCCATCTCCAGCTGATAAGGGTCTGGGCTTAGTTCAGCCTTTGGCAGCCAAAGCAGGAGGAGCGGCGCCTGGGAGCCGGCCAAGGCTAAATTTAAACAGTCCCTGGCTGGGGGAGGCAGCAGGGACATGTCTCGCCGCAACCCTGACATGTCCCTTTCTGACCAACAACTCCTGTAGGGTTGGGGACAGGGCTTCTACCCTCCCCAACATGCTGCCACCCTGTCCTCTGCTATCAGCAGGGTCACATAGGCATCCCCTCCCCTCACCCAGGTCTGTGGCACGATCCCACCATGCTGAGGGTCCCCGGGGTACTGAGCCAGCTCACCCGACACCTCCACATTTGTCACCATGCGGTCGCTGGCAGCATCACAGATGTAGCACCCTGAGTCGCTGGGCTGCGCCCCACGGATGGTGAGCTGTCGCAGCACCCCACGGGCTTCAACCTGCACCCGTTCACCTGGATGCACCTCATGGCCATTCCGGAGCCAGCGCACGATGGCGTCGGGCCGGGACAGCTCACAAGCCATCACCAGATCCTCCCCGGCCACCAGGCAGCGATGTACCACAGTGCCTGTGCTGCCCACGATGGTCACTGGTGGCTCTGGGACTGAAAAGATGGGCAGTCACCACAGGAGTAGCCTGTGCCAGGTATTGCAATGGCCAGACTCTGTTCAGACTCCTCTGGCTGCAGCTGTGCAGCGCCGGGGCTTCCACAAGGCCACCACACAGGTGCAGCCTGCTCCCCATTTGCCCCCTACCAGCCTCCCTATGCTCACTGCCACCCAGCCCAGCCCCACACTAGCCTGGCAGCAGCCACAGACCCACCTCAGTCCTTGCCACTCTGGCATCCCCACTGCTCACCTTCTACAGTGACGAAGAAGACGATGCTGTCATCGCCGGTGTCACAGAGGTACTCTCCCGCATCCCTGCCCATGGTGCCCAGGATCACAAGGGATCGGTGTGCCCCGTCCTCCTCAAGCCGCACACGCCCCGTGTCCTGCAGCTTCTCCCCATCCTTGTACCACTTCACCTCCCCGTGGGCGTGTGAGAGGTGCACCTCCAGCACCAGGTCCTCCATGGCCCGGCAATGCCGGTGGGTCAGCAGGACATCCCTCTCCAGGATCATGACCAGCGGATCTGCAGCATCCAGTACCAACAGAGCTGGGGTCTCTGGGGTCTATGCACCCAGCTCTTCCAACCAGGCTCTCCCCTAGCCTCTTGCTCACCCAACACTTGGACAGTGAAGGTCACTGTGTCATTGGCAGTGTCACAGGTGTATTTTCCAGCATGCTCGGCTTGAGCAGCAGGGATGAGCAGCCGGCGATAGGCACCGTCCTCTTCCAGGACCAGGCTCCCCCCAGCCTCCAGCCTGATGTCCTCCTTGGCCCAGCACACAGGTGCATCCACACGGGACAGCTCACAGCACAGTGTCACTGTCTCCCCCAGGGACACCGTCATGACAGGGACAGGTCTGCAGGGCTGCAGTATCCTCACTGGAGGCTCTGCAGGGATGGCATGTCTGTGATGCAAAGCAGCGCAGGGACATCGTGGCCCAGGACACTCCTCTGGTGCCAGCCCCAGGCGAGCGACTGCACTGGTGGCCCCGTCAGTGGGCACCCACTGGCTTCATCACCATGGAGGAGCCAGTCCCCTCCACCAGGCTGGGACAGACCCTGCAGCCAGAACCACATCAGCACCTCCCTGCTCCCGGGTCTCCACTGACCTGACACCTTGACGTCAAAGGAGACGGCCTCATCTTTGCTCTCGCAGATGTACTCGCCTGTGTCCTCCATGCTGCTCTTGGGGATGAAGAGACAGCGCCAGGCCCCCTCCACCCCCAGCAGAAGGTTGTCAGTCTCATCCACTTCCAGCCCATCCTTGAACCAGCGTACAGGAGCATCTGGCACAGAGAGCTCGCATCGCAGCTCCACACGCCCCGGTGCCTGAACCAGCAGCTCCAGTGAGCGCTGTGGAGGGTGTAGGATCCTCACTGGTGGCTCTGCTAGGGGTGCAGAGGAAGGGTGTGAGACCTGCTCACTGCACTGCTCCTGGCTCTGCTGTCTCAGCTTACTGTCACCTGTGCCCTGTTCCTCAGGGGCTGTACAGATGCTACAGTGTCTCACCCCAGTGCAAAGAGGTGGGAGCTGTTTGAGGACAGGGGTAGTAGGCACACAGATACAGCTGCATAATGCTGAGGGCAGAGAGCAGGGCTGGGGACCCCACAGCACAGAGCTGGGGCAGTGCTGCCCTTCTCAGGATGTCCCTGCTGTGCCACCAACCTGCCACCAAGATGGAGTAGGAGACAGATGCATCTCCAGCGTCGCAGCTAAACTCCCCTGTGTCCTGTGGGCGGGCACAGGGCAGCACCAGCCGGTATTGCGGGCCCTCCTGCTCCAGCACCAGGCTCTCATCCATCTCCACTTCCTCCTCGCCCTTGTACCAGCGCACTCGGGCCACCGGCCGGGACAGCTGGCACCACAGCTCCACACGCTGCCCGGCCACATAGGAGTGGGGGGCCTCCTTGTTGGAACTGACAATCCTCACTGGTACCTCTGTTGGGGGACACATGGTGAGGCTCAGCCTTGGTGCTGAGTGAGGCCCATGTGAAGACAGGCATCTCCTGGAGCAGCTCACCCACCTCTCACGGTCACTCTGAAGCTGGCAGCATCGTCCCCAGCATGGCAGATGTACACCCCCGAGTCAGATGGTGCGGCTGTGGCGATGTGCAGCCTCTGCGAACATCCCTCTGAGCAGATGGCCAGGACCTGGGTTGGGACCACGGCCTTGCCATCCTTCGTCCAGTGGACACGGGCATCTGGGGGGGACACTTCGCACTCCAGCACCAAGGGCAGCCCTGCCAGCACCTCCTGGAGCTGCTGTGCCTCAGTCACCGGGGTGATGCGGACCTGCAGGGCTGAGAGGACCAAGACCCTGTGTCGCTTGGACTTCCCAGCCCTGCAGTGCCGGTAACTGCAAGTTGAGGGAACACCAGGGCTGATGTGTGAAGTAGAATAAACCATGGGCAGGCAGCTGGTTGTGCCTTGGGGTGTAGAGCGGCAGTGTGGCACAGGGCTCTAGGAGACAGAGCAGCTGGCCTGTCGCTGCCTGTATCCCAGGGGCATGGGCAAAGAGCTGCTCACAAGGAGGCGAGGGGCAGATGAGGTGCTGCAGCCACAGTGTAAGCATGGAGCTGGGCCAGAGGGAAAAGGGGAAGAGGGATGTAGGTGTGTGAGGGATGTAGGTCTGCATCTCACCTACCTGCCACAGTGACAGTGTAGAAGACAGAGTCCCCGCCAGCATCACAGACAAACTCCCCTGTGTCCTGTGGCTGGGCACAGGGCAGCACCAGCCGGCACTGCAGCCCCTCCTGCTCCAGCACCAGGCTCTCGCCTGCCTCCACCTCCTCCCCATCCTTGTACCAGTGCACTGGGGCCACCTGACGGGACAGCTGGCACCACAGCTCCACACGCTGCCCGGCCACGTAGGCATGGGATGCCCCCTCATTGGAACGGACAATCCTCACCGGCGCCTCTGCCAGGGAGAGACACGGGGTTCAGCCAGGACGTAAAGACCAGAGCCAGTGATGGTGGCAGTCACAGCCCTGTGTGGAGTGATGGTTTAACCAGCTTGTTGGCTTTAAGGCTGGAAGGCACCACCTCATCCACAGCCTACATAGCACAAGCTTCTATGTGGCAGGCACATAGACCTGCCCGGGTCTCCCTCTCCTCCTCGCCCATCACACCCAGGAGGAGTACCTGGCTTCAAGCTGGCTGTAAATTGCTGCCACGCCCTCGCACCCATGGTACCTGCCCTACTCTGCCCTGCGATGGAGCTGAGGGATGTGGAAGGAGGTTGTGGGTAAGCAAGCGCCTCATTAGCAAACCCCAGCACTGCTAATCACTGTCTGCGGTGTCAGCACCAGCCCCTGTGGCTGCCCTACTGGGGGTGCCCACTTCTGTGCCTGTCTCCCCATTTCAGAGGCCACCAGGGGCCAGCTGAGGTTTCTGTCTTGGCTCAGCTTTGGCATTTTCTGGCACTGCAGTGCAGGCATATGGCTTACCTGTGGCCAGCAGCCCTATTCCTCTGTCTCACCAGGACCCAGAACCCAATTCCAGATTGCAGTGATCACTAAACACCACCATTAATGGGTTACACGTGAAATGAGTGCCACTGCTCACATTTTCCCCCTGACTTGATCTAAAGGCAGAGGGGCTCCAAGTACAAATTTTAGGTGACCAGCCCTCCTGGGAGAGGATCAGGATGCTACGCACAGCCAGCACTGCATTGCACACATGCATTGCACACATGCATTGCAGCCAGCTGCAGCTGGCCTGGACTCTGCCATGGGTGTTTATCCAGCCCATGGCTCCAGACAGGCACGAGGTACAGCCAGCATCGGAGCACACACCAGCAAACAAGCAGCAACATGCCCTTCTCATAGCCCACAGCTGCCCTGTACTGGGCATCCAGCCTGGAAACTTCCCAGATGGTTCCCAGCTACCATGCCCAGGCCCAGCAACACACCACAGCCCCGCAGTGTGCGTGCGGCGCCGGTTTGCAGTGATTAACCTGCCACACGCTGAGCCTGCATCCGCCTGGTTTTCTGATCAAACGGCTGGTAGCTGCCTCTCTCCCTGGGCCTGCTAAAAGCAGTCACATCACTGAAGTGCAACTGGAGATGTTGAGCAGCACCAAAGCAAGGAGGGGGCGATGTGTCAGCCCTCAGCAGGCAGCACCACTGTGGCCTCAGCCTCTCACCAGCTCTGAGGGAGCTCCAGCACTCAGCAGCTACTGGAAGACCCAGAGGTGCACAGGGGTGGCCAGGCTTGAGGCAGACATGCTCCATGCCACAGCAGCCCCATGGGGGATAGCTGGGATGCCTCGGGGAAACCCAAGCACGCCACAGCAGCGCTTGACTGCAGCAGCCAGCCTGGCACTCGTGCCAGAGAGATGTCAGCCTGAGCCTCCTGTCACCCACCCCCAGCCCTGCTGGTGACATCGACGTCCAAATCCAGATCGAACCAAGCCAGCTTCCCTAAGACCCTTCTGTTGAAGTTATGCAAAGCCGCTCAGCCAAAAGGCTGAGCTTCAGCAGATGGTGTTCCCCCTCCTACCCAAGGGAAGCAGAGCTCTCCATGCCCCATGCTCCCGCAGGACAGACCGTGACTCCTGCCTCTGCCCAAAGCCCACACTGCCTGTCCTTCCCACCAGCGATTTTGCCTTTATCTCACTAAAAAACCTCCCTTCCTCTCCCTCCCAGCAGTCACCACTCCATTGACTCTTCAAGCAACTCTTATCATTCATCCCATCTTCACTTACATCCTCTGCCATCAACTTTGGCCCTTTGTCCCATGTTAACACCACGGTGAGGCTTTACCCCTGTAGTAACAGAGCTTTTTAACTGGGTTTTAGCTCTGCCCCCAGTCACCTTCCTGTGACTGTGGGATGTGGGTTTCGGGGCCAGCAAGGGGAAGCCTTTCACTCACTTTCAGCTTTCATTATCTTCTGCCAACCAGAGACGCCAGCAGCCGCTCCACAGCCGAGGCAGCCGCTGCGGGATGCTGTCCCCTGCTCCCACCCAGCAAACACCCCCAGTCGTTGGTCTCCAGGCAACCACTAATTTTCAGGTCAGCAATTAATTCTGTCCATCAGAGTGATGTCTGACCGTGAGTCACCCCACGCCAGGTGCCCAGCCCACTATTTTTAGGACTTTGGAGGAGGGTTTGGTTACTGGCCATGACAGAGGTCTGGCAAACACCCTGGTATGTAGGTGCTGGGTGCCCTCGGGTGCTCTAGTGTTTTGGACAAGCAGAGCAAGCTGTTCCCTCTGGCAGTCAGTTTGGGTGGTTTTATGCACCAGAGCTGCCACAAAGACTCCAACCAAGCAACCGACCAAACTGCTGGTGAGGACCTGGCAAGAGAATGTCTGACAAGCGTCCCATAGCGGCAAGTGACAGCAATACTGACAGCAGCATGCACACGCTGTGGCACCCTGCACCACCAAAGAAAGGCCCCTGAGACCCTGCCATCCCTCCTGCATCACACCCACCTTCCACAGTGATGGTGTAGAAGGCAGAGTCCCCACCGGCATCACAGACGAACTCTCCTGTGTCCTGTGGCCGGGCACAGGGCAGCACCAGTCGGCACTGTGGCCCCTCCTGCTCCAGCACCAGGCTCTCATCCATCTCCACCTCCTCTCCATCCTTGTACCAGTGCACTGGGGCTGCCAGGCGGGACAGCTGGCACCACAGCTCCACACGCTGCCCAGCCACATAGGTGTGGGTGGCCTCCTCATTGGAGCTGATGATCCTCACTGGCACATCTGCCAAGGATAATGTATGGCTCAGAATGGGTACCCAACTGGCTGCAGCTTTCAGCCCCATCATGGGAGTGAGAAGAGGGGCAGGAGCACTATCAGCAGGTGGGGTCCAGGCTCCCACAGGCAGTCCCCAGCTCACCAGACACGGTCACCACAAAGCTCACGGCATCATCCCCAGCGTCACAGGTGTACACACCAGTGTCCGAGGGACTCGCCGAGCGGAGGAGCAGCCTCCGCACGCAGCCCTCTGCCTGCACTACGATAACGTCATCTGGAGGCACGGCCTCACCGTCCTTCAGCCAGCGGACAGGAGCATCCGGGGCAGACACCTGACATTCCAGCAGCACAGGCAGCCCTGTCGGCACCTCCCGGAGCCGCTCGGCCTCGGGCACTGGAGCAATACGGACCTGCGGGGCTGAGAGACATCGTGAAGAGGTGAGAAGCATCCTCCACCATGAGAGCCCACGCTGTTAGGGTCCCGGCAGGCCCCCTGACAAGCGCCCTGCTCACCTTGCACATGCAGCATGGCTGAGTCCCGCACTCCACCAGACACAAAGGTGATCTGGGCCCCACTGTCAGCCAGCCGTGCTCCCCGGATAAGCAGCGAGTGCTCCGTCCCGCGGTGCTGCATCCTGCACCGACCTCCTGCATCCTCCTCCTCCTCGCCCAGCCTGGCACCGTTGAGGAACCAGGAGCCGTGCACTGCAGCTGACAGCTCCAGGGAGAACTGCGCATCCTCGCCGTCCCGCACCCGCACATCCTGCAGACCCCTCTCCAGGCGAGCTGCCGGGACTGGAGCACAGCCAGACTGAGCCTCAGCGGCACTAACTACCAGCACGCTGTAGCACAACATCCCAGCTCGCCTCTGGGGAGACTCAGCTCCCAGGTGGAAGTCCCTGGCTCGGCATTCTCACCGAGATGCACGGAGCCGGGGAATTCCACAGGGTTGCTCCTGCCGTGCTTGTTAGTGGCGCAGATACGAAAGCAGTAGTCGGCCTCGCGGGGCACGCTGTCACCCAGCACCCGCACACAGCCGGGCAGGTCAGTGGCCAGGCACTGCACCCACTCACCCCCCACTGCCTCCCGCCGCTCCAGCAGGTAGCGGCTGGCAGGGTGGAGGTGGGCATCGGGTGCAGGACACCAGGTCAGCAGAGCCGTGTTGCTCTCCACCACGCTCATCTCAGCTGCCACCGGTGCGCTCGGAGGATTGTGCTTCACACCTGCAAGTCACAGCCCATGTTGGCTGCTTGGGGATGGCAGTGAGATTCCGGGTGGGGTGGCAGAAGGGTTGGGTGGGGCTACACAGCCTGTTTCTTTGGGGATCCTCTCTTTGATGGAGGGGATGGTCTTGCTTTTGTGTAGCATGATGCTAGTTACAGGGGTTTGTGAGTGCCAGTGAGGCTGGGGTTCTGGAGCCCTGCTGAAAGCTCCCTTCCCAAAAGAAAACATCGCAGCATCACATCCCCAGCATACTGGGTACCCATTCCACCTCCCACTCTCTATCATCCCCCATGAATGGGCAGGACAGAGGACATGGGACCCCTTCAAGCCTGCAGCTTACACTTCACCCGGAGCTGAGAGGACGTCTGTGACTCCCTGACAGTGAAGGAGATGATGCCCGCGTCCTGGCGGGTGACATGCACCAGCACCAGGATGTGTGTCCTGCCGAAGCTCTTCAGCACAGTGCGGGGTGACTCCTGCAGCCGTAGCCCATCCCGGCTCCAGCAGGTCCCCTCTGCCTCATCCTGTGTCTCCACACAAAAAACTGCATTCTCCCCCTCCATCACATCCAGCTTCCGCGGCAGCCGTTTCACAATCACCCCTATGGAAAGAGATATATGAAGGCTGGGGAGGGATGCTTGGGAACAGAGTGGGCTCTTTGAGGTGGGAAAGAGGAGGAGGAGGAGGAGGAGAAGGAGGAGGTTGAGGAGGTGCAGCAGTAGGCACCACAGCCAAATGGAGGGAAAGCAAATGCAGGGGGCAGTGGGGACCCTGGCAAGGAGGGGGATAGGAAAACAAAGCTGTGCCACCGGAGACCTGACCCCCACCTCGGACAGAGACCTCGGCGATGCTACGCCCTTTGTCCTTCATCTGGCAGAGGTAGATGCCATCGTCGTCAGTGCGGGCATCGCGGATGGTCAGGCGCCGCACCACTCCTTGCTCTTCCATGACGTACTTGTGACTGGGCTGCAGCTCCCTGTCCTCCAGGTACCAGGCAGTGGGGATGGTCTCCAGTGGCACCTGGCACTCCAACACAGCATCCTCTCGTTCTGCCACCTCCACATCTGCCAGTTGCACCTGGAACCGCAGCCGGTGCTCTGCCACCAGAAGAGAGAGGAGCTGAGGGCGTGCGGGGTGCAGCACCAACCATAGTCCTTTGCTCACATTGTTCCCAGCTCACAAAGAGCACTGAGCCCTTGGCCCTCCTCTGTCCTCTCCTTTGGTCTGCATAAGATGGACTCTGCCTTGAGAAACACATCCCCCAGAGCAGGGAGAACCATAACACAGCTTGGGGAGACCCAGGGATGCCCCCAGCATCTCAGCAGGGAGTTTTGGGGGATGCAGAAGCATGGAAGACAACACACTGTGGCAAGCATCTTGGCGGAAGGGAGCAGTAGGGTGCACAGGCAGGGAGTGCACCAGGGACAGGGTCACTCCAGCAATGGGTTCGCTCCAGCTGGCATAATGGCTCAGGGGGGATGGGGCTGCCGCCAGTGTAGATGGTTGGAGCCTTGCCCTGCAGGGTTGCCTGCCAAAATCACTCAGCGCTTCCAGGGGAATTTGTCACCAAGGCACTGTCCCCCTTCCCTGTTCATGGCTGGACACCCACAGCCATCCCAAGAGGCCACCTCTCTGTTTGCAAGAAGAGAGGGACATGGAGGGGGGCACAGCTCACAGAGGAGCCCAGCATCTCCTGCTTCCAGCCCACAGCTCTGTCCTGAGGAGCCTGAGATGACCCTGGCTGCACAGGGCAGGAAGGAGCCTAGGGATGCTGGGCTCCCACACGGACACATCCCTGCCAGACAAAACTCCCTGGACCCACCCAGTGCCCAGCCACCCCTGGCACTGCTTGGACATGCTCCTACCTTTCACCTGGAGCTGCACTGCACTGAGGGTCTGGCCAGCAGTGTTGGAAGCAGTGCACATGTACAGCCCCTGGTCCTGGGGCTTGCAGTACAGCACCTTGAGGATGAAGTAGCCCTCCCGGTCCTCATAGATGAGATGTCTGCGGCCAGGGGCGAGGGGCTCACCATCCTTCTGCCAGATGATCTCTGGCTTGGGCTTGCCAGTAACGTAGCAGCGAAACTTGGCGTGCTTCCCTACACTCACAGCAAATGCCTTAGCCGCCGGCACCCTGGCCGGCACTATGCCATTGGGCACCCAGATCTCTGGTCCCATGTGCCGTCCCGCTGTGTGCCGCCGCCGCCGCTGCCGCTCCACCAGTGGCTCGGGACCATCAGCAGGAGAGCCATTGGGAAGCCCATCCATCAGTGCCTGGGGTTCGACCAGAAGCACGGCAGCAGCCAGGGCCTCCCGGGAGCCACTGCGTGCCCGGCAGACATACACACCCCCGTCCGGGGGCCGGGCACCAAACAACTTCAGGAAGTGCCAGTCCTCGGGCTTCTGCCCCACTGCGAAGTGACTGCTCTCAAAGAGGTCGGAGAGCTTGTGCCCATCCTTCTCCCACTCTAGCACTGGGCAGGGCTGCCCAGACACTCTGCAGGTGAACATCACATCCTCCCCCCGGCACACCCTCATGGATGAGGGGGCAATGAGGAAGGCAGGTGCCTCACTACCCAAGCATCCCTCCTCCTCTTGTGGCTCCGCCGCCTCCACCCTGAGTGCAGTGGCAGCATAAGTCTCACCAACGCTGTTCTTCGCCTTGCAGATGTAGAGCCCACTGTCCTGGGGACTGGCACCAGACACCAGCAGGCTGTACAGATCCCCCTTGGTCTCTATATGGAAACGGCCTGAGGGATCAATAGGGTTCTTGTCCTTTTCCCAGAGGATGCTTGGCTGGGGATCACCCCTGATCTGGCAGCTCAGGACCACATCGGTGCCACTTTGGACAGTGAAGGCACGTGGATAGGCCAGGAACCTGGGGGCTCCCCCAAACCCCTCCATCACCACCTCCTGTGGTCACAGCAGGCAGATGGCTGGAACAGCAGTGGGGACCATCAGCCTGGGGAGATACAAAGACAAGACTAGGGTAGGGGCTCAGGCTTTATCAAAAGGACTGACCAGTGTGGAGCCCCACCAGGAGGGAGCTGCGCCCAGAGCAAAACTCCCAGCATGGACCCCATGCTGCAGGAGCATCGCCCTCTCTCTGAGCAGCTCAGCCCCACTGGATATGCTCCTGCATCACCCAAATCACCCATTTCCCAGCCCGCGGCAATAGCAGAGGGGATAAAAAGCAACTCTTTGCACCCCAAGGGCCTGGGGCACTCACAGCCTACCTACCCCAGGGTTGCAGAGGGGACCCAAGCTCGAGCAGCAGGCGATCCCTGCCTAGACAGGGAGCACAGGCGCTTGCTGAGGCTGGGGGACAGCAGAGGCAAGAGGGCCCCCCTCCCACCCCTTCCCCACCCGCCGGGCATTCCTGCAGTATCGGGTGGTGGCAGAGCCGCATTCCTACATCATCTGGGCCGGCTCAGCAGGCAGGTGCTGACACAGGGCTGTCACGGGCTCGAGGCTCTGGCTGGATCCGGGTACTTCCTCCTAGACTCGGATGGGCAGGCGGCCCCCCCTGTGCCCGGCGGCCACCCCACAGGGCCATGCCCTATGGCAAAGTGGGCTCTCCCAGGAGCAAGTTCCCCTCCAGAGTGTGGTCCCACAGGCAGGATCCAGCCCTTGCGCACTGAAAGTCATGACTGGAAATGATCAGCCCCAGGGGCAAAGATAAGGCCGGGGAGATGGGTCCTGCTTTTGGAGGGCATTGCCTCCATCCCCAGCTTTCTGGGTAACCATGCCCACCATCACAGGCAGGAGCAGAGCAGGGTGCTCTGTGCCTCCCCCGGGTGAATGCACTGCAGCCTCTGCCCACACCATGGCTGGGGCTGGGGCAATATCCGTCTCTGCCTTGGTCGGGCAGGGGGAGGGGAAACAAGAATACTCCCTGAATGAGCCAGAGGGGACGGTGGGAGAGGGTTGTTCCCCAAGGAGTGAGAAGGACTGGGGCCAGCTTCTCCTCCCAGCGCCCTACCCCTGAAACAGTGCATCCATTCAGAGCCACCTCCCCGGCCAAAAACTCCCCTGACCCACAGCCCACCCCACAGCAGCCTCTGCAGATGCAGACAGACCTGATGGCTCAGCTGCCCCACTGCACCCTTTAACCACTCCCTTCCCTGATCACCCTGCCCCAGACAGCCCCTCAGCCCAGTCCCCATCTCCACACACGCACCTCGGTCCACTGCCTCTCCCCTGTGTCTCCCAGTGCCGGTGCCCAGCTCCTGCTGCTTCCTCCAGCTCCGCTCCTGGGTGTCAGTGCACAGGGACCAAACGTTATAAATGCCTGCAGCTGCTGTCCCCAAAAATACCCTCTGATGACACACTGGGTTGATAAGACCGAGCCTGTTCCATTCAGCGCCTGACTGAGGCAGGGCTGGCCTACCTATGTATAGCAGCCTGGCGGGAGCCACCCCAGAGAGCTGGGGTGCCACAGCCCCAGCTGTGGCTCCATGATAGCTCAGCCAGCAGCAGGAGAGAATGCACCATGTGGGATGCACAGTATGGGGTGCATGGTGTGGGGTATATGGAGCGGGACACCAGACTGCAGTGAGAGAGGACATGCCATGCGAGACATGCTGCATGGGGCGGGATGTACTGCACTGGATGCTGCATGAGGTGCCAGGCTGTGCATGGGATGTGCAGGACACTGGGCTGTGGGAGGAGCAGAGGGGATACACAAGCTGCCCACCACCCACAGGGCAGGCGGGGCTGATGAATCGGGAACACCTGGCAGTGTCCCCTCAGGCAGCCATTAGAGGAAGGGCACCGGGTCCCCTTGCAGCCTATGCCTATGCCTCTCCTGCAAATCCCACCCTGTGAGCCAGCCCATGGAGCACTCCAGGATCCTTTGCCTGGCACTGCTGCAGGGTTTCCAGCTGGCTTGGCTCTGCCTCACCTCTTCTCTCTCTGAAGCTGGCCCAAGCATTCCCCAGTCCCAGCCCCAGGGACCTCTTGCTGTCCCTCCTGCTTCATGTCTCCAGGACCTTGCCAGATTCCAGACTGTCCTGGAGATGCCACAGCCACCCCACCCCTAGCCTACCCTCCATAGGGCCCCGTCCTCATATCCTGGTTGCCCTGGCTTGTCCCAGAGATCCCAGTGCCCAGCCTGTACGCTCCAACTTGCCTCCCCCATGCCAGAGCCTCACAGGGCTCTGAACCCCGTCAGGTCCTTGCCTAGATTTCCCTACTGTGCAGAACTGCTGTCACCTCCCACTATCCCCCCTGAAGCTGCAGATCTCCAGTTCCTCCACCGTGGGGGGCACCCAGCACCAGCAGCTGCAAAGCTTGCTCAGGATGCCCCCTCCATCCCTGCCAGCACAGGAAAACCTTCCTGGCAGCACCCTGCCCACAGCACGGCCTCCCCAGCCCCATGCACCCGCTGCTCCCAGCAGCATCCCACACACACACACCCCTTGCCCAGGCGCTGCCCCCCCCCTCCAGACCACACTGTCCTTGCAGTCCTCACATTCCAGACGTCTCAGCGCTTTCACAGCCCAGAGATAATATTCACGGCGAGCAGACGTTTGCGTCAGTGTCAGATAGATCTCAATGCCACCCTGCCCCAGGGGGAGTACAGCGGGCAGACAGGCTGGGCAGGCAGGCAGAAGCCCACAGCAGAGCCCCCTGAGCCACTGGCCTGCTGCACACCCCACGGTCATGCTGCTCCTCCTGCACCTGCTGCCTGCCATGCTGCCCACTGCTGCCCTGGCCAGCTGCACTGGGGCGGGTGCTGACAGGCAGCTCATCCTGGCCAAGGTGCGGGCTCGGGTGCTGGAGCATCTGAGCCCCCCGCTTCTCCAGGAGGAGCCCCAGATGGAAGCAAGGAGGGTACACCGGAGAGACATCCTTGAAGACACTCAGGTTGAGCCAGAGGAGCTGGAGGACACCTCCCAGGTGATCTTGTTCCCTTCCACAGGTGAGAACATCATGGTGGAATTGAGAGGGCAGAGGGGTAAGCAGGGTGGGGCCTCAAGGCAACACGGATGCTGAAGGATGGAGAGGCTGCTGTGGTGGTCTGCAGGAGAAGGGAAAGAGGGTATGCCAGGCTGGGGCACAGGCATGGGCAAGATTTGGTGGAGAGTGAGGAGGGGGAAAGGTATGGCAGGTAGGGACAGGCGGAGCAGCCCAGTACAGACAGGGAGAGGTGTGGGCAGCACAAGAGTGCTAAGAGGCTGAACCAGGCAGGATGCAGAGACATGGGTAGGGCTGAGGAGCAGGCAGGGTGGAATGGGTGGGATGTTAGGGAATAGGGCAGGATACTAGAAAATGGGATGGAATACAAAGGGACAGAGCAGGATGCTGTGGGATAGGGCAGGATGACCAGCTATAAAGCACAACAGTGGGAGATGGGGCAGAATGCTGGGGGATGGGATAGGATGTGGATGCTGGGGGAAGGCAGCAGGATGACCAGCTATGGGGCAGGACACTAGGAGGTGGGGCAGGATGCTGGGGCAACACTAATCGACCAGCCTAGGGCATAAGCAGGGCTTAGCTGTGGGACACAGCACAGAAGCTGCTGTGTAGCACTAGACAGCAGCTCCCCTGCACCCTGCCACAGCCTATGCTGGCAGCCAAGTGCCCTGCCAGCACCGCAGGGACCCTCTGCAACATTTCCCCTGCTGCCTGGCACTAGGGGACTCTCTCCAGGTTTGGGCATACACCCTGATCATCTTTTCCCCACCACAGATGTGCCCTGTGAGCCCACACAGCCGGACAAGTTGCTGGAGGAAGAAGGGATTTTCAGCTATCTCTTCCAGCCCTCAGCACACACCCTGAGCCGCGTGGTGACTTCTGCCCAGCTCTGGTTTTACACCGGTCCCTCAGCCACCCTGAACCACTCAGCCCCTGACGTGCTGGCCCTGTCACCACAGGGCCGGGTGCCGGTGACAGCCATGGTAGAGCAGACACCCGAGCACTGGACAGTGTTTCACTTGGCCCCGGTACTGCTGCCCCAGCTCTCGCAGCCACTCTTTGTGCTCCTGGTGCGCTGCCCTGGCTGCCCCTGCCTGGCCGAGGGGGACAAGATGCCCTTCTTGGTGGCCACCACCCGGGCCAAGGGCAGTGAGAGGGCTCGTCGCTCCACCATGCCCTGGTCTCCAGCTGCACTGAGCCTGCTGCAGCGCCCATCCGAGGACTTGGCTGCCCACACCAACTGCCGTCGGGCTTCCCTCAACATCTCCTTTGAGGAACTGGGTTGGGACAAGTGGATCGTACATCCCAGCAGCTTCGTTTTCCACTACTGCCATGGGAACTGCGCTGCGGGCCATGGGCTGAGCCACCGGCTGGGCGTGCAGCTCTGCTGCGCTGCCCTGCCCGGCACCATGCGCTCCCTGCGCGTCCGCACCACCTCCGATGGCGGGTACTCCTTCAAGTACGAGACAGTGCCCAACATCCTGGCCCAGGACTGTACCTGTGTCTAGAGCATCCCATGGCCCAGCCCCAGACTGTGATCCCACTGAGAAGGAGTTGCTTTCCCAGTGGGACCTTGGCCCCAGACTGCAGGGACCAAAGGGACCTGGAGGAGCATTTTGGGCTGTGCCACCCTCCCCTGCACAAGCCAGAGTTTTGGGCTGCCCCAGGTACCATCACGCTGCCAGACCTGCCCTAGGGCTGGTCCCTGCCCAGAGCAAGTTGGGGCATGGCAGGGCAGGGATAGGCACAGCCTCTGGCAAAGGCACCATTGTCCTGCCAAAGCCAGGCTGCTGTCTGCAACCAGATTAGCCCCCATCTCTCTCCACCTGCTCCCCTCCCTCAATTCTGCCCCTCCCCAAAGACTGGGGTCCCGCTTCTGCTGCAGAATTCAACAGCCTCCCTGTGCTCCAGGCAGGGCCAGGCAGCTGCAACAGGATCAGATTGTGCCTGGGCAAGCCCACGACAGGACCTCACGCTGGTAGGGCGGGCGGCATGTATGGCACTGCAAGTGAGCCCTCTCCCGGTGGCACAGCTTGTTGGAAAGCTTAACGGGATGAGTAAAATAAACCTGCTCCCTTTATTAAAGCAGTGTGGAAATGTCCGCTTCCATCAGAAGCAGCCACGGAGGTGGCATGCAGTTGTGCAGTGGGATGCAACAACCTTCCTGGGGGGTTTCTAGATGGAGAAGTGAGGGGACGGGCAAGTACTTCAGAGGCATCCAACTCTGACCTGGGGTACCAGAGAGGGGACTGGGGTCTGCTGGCCAAAACTGGCATGGCATGGCTGGGTTTAACACTGCCCTGGGCACAGGAGCACAGGGCAGAGCAACATCCTTTCTGCTCCGCGCAACAGGTTGTAGAGGAACGGGGGCGACAGAGGGATGGGAGGCATGGGGATGGTGGGAGGATGGGGAGGAACGGGAAAGCCCCTCACCCGGCCCCTCGACAGGGATAGGGCCAAATAGGAACGCAGCCAGAGCAATCCTTCTCCACCAGGCCGATGATGAAAGCTGCCCGTCACAGCCTCCGCACAGCAGGAACGACTGAGTCACCCTGGGCAGCAGGGAGGTCCCAGCCCAGCCACGCAGGATTCCCTTCCCACCCCTTCCTCCCAAAGGACCAGATCCAGCAGTTCAGTACAAAACGTCTTCAGCCTTTACTAATATAGATATTAAAAAAAAAAAAAGGAAGAAAAACAGAGTGACAATCATTTCCGAGTAAAAAACAACGCTACAAAAGTCCCCGTGTGACCCAGGCTGAGATGATGAGAAATGCTCCACTGGCTCCTGGCCGAGCCCAGCTCGGGGCACCATGTCCCCACACTGTGGGGCCAGGGTCTGGCTCTGTGTGGGGGGTCCCAGCCCCGCAGGCAGAGTGGGAGGAGATGAGTTTTGGTCCACGGGCGACCTGCCAGGACAGGGCGGAGACAGCGGGAAGGACAGCCCCTGACCTCTGCACAGACATTTCTGAGCAGGCCAGCTCACAGCTCACAGCCCCGTGCCAGGATGCTGTGCAGCATGGCCATACTGGCCCTTTCCGGCAGCAGTGCTGCCAGGACCCCTTCCATCCCCTCCACTTCAAGGGTAATGCCAGCCCAGCTCTCTGTCCCACAGCTCAGCCCAGCCAGCCAGACCCCCAGCCTGCTCCCCTAAAGCCCCACACCTTGGGGGCAGTACCAAAATCACCAGCATCACCCACACATGCACAGCACTGGCCGGTGCTGCAGTGGGTGGCAGCTAGCATGGGGGGCACAGGGAGGTGTGAGGAGAACATGCTGCAGAAAATGGGTGTGGGAGGAGGAAAAGAGGGTGAAATGGGAGATGGGGGAGCACAGGCCCAGAAGGGATATCAGGATGGAGTATAAAAATGCCAGGGTGCACACGCTGATGAGTTTATAAAAATGTACAAAAATAAGATATTCCCTTTTTGAAAATTAAGTAGGAATGAACCCCATGGCCCCCATCCCCTCTGCTGCCCACCAGGACAGGGCTTGCTCAGACTGCCCTGCTGGGCAGGCACATGGCATCCTCCACCCCGTGCTCCTGGCAGGACGCCTGTCCCATGGTGGCGGCGGCAGCCGCTCCAGCAGTCACCGCCGTCATCCCTGGTGGCACTCACAGCCCTGTGGGGAGCAAGAGGCAGGTTAGTCCCAACCCCAGGTGGAATGGCATCCCCTCTCCAGGGGAGCCTAGAAGCAGCCCTCCATGCCCTCTCCCCAGCTCACCCGTGGTCCTGTCGCAGGCAGTGGTCCCCTTCTCGTGGGCGAGGTTGAGGCGATTCTGCTCGGCAGCAATGCCGTTGGCCTCGGGACTGCTGCTGCGGGCAGGGCTGGGGGGCCTCGGAGGGGGCTGGAGATGGAAGGCCACCTCCAGGTGCTCCTGGGCCAGGCGCAGATGTTCACGCAGTCGGTCCAGCTCATGTGCCGGGGGAGCCCCCGCCAGAGCGAAGCGCCCCTGGGCCAGGCTCTCCTGGTAGTCCAGCTTGCCGTTGGTCAGTGGGGCTTGTGGCAGCTCCTTCTTCAGCGAGTGGTAGGTGGGGGGTGCGCTGGGGGCTTTCTTGGGGTACTGTGGTGCAGGACTGTCACCAGATGGGAGCGGGGGGCCACCAGACTGGCTCAGGGCATCACGGATGCGCCCTACACCAAGGTGCAAAAGCTCGCAGAGGTTGAGGAAGAGGCAGAGCCCACTGACAGCATACATGATGAGGAGGAAGATGGTCTTCTCGGTGGGGCGGGAGACAAAGCAGTCGACGGTGTGCGGGCAGGGGCTGCGGCTGCAGACGTAGGAGGGGCTCACCTCAAAGCGGTACAGCAGGTACTGCCCAAAGAGGAAAACCATTTCTAGCAGTGAGCGGCACAGCAAGTGCAGGACATAGGCACGCATCAGCCCATCCTGCTTGATGCGGCGCCGGCCATCATGCTTCTCTCCACCGTCTGGACTCTTCTCCTTCTCCACCTCGATCTCCTCAAAGATCATGGGGTCTTCTTCGTTATCATCTTCTGCCTCCTCGTAGTCCCGCCCAGCTCCCCGGCGCACCACCGGCATGCGAGCCCGCCGGGCTGCTGGTGTCCGGCGCCGTGAGGACTCAGGCATGCGAGCGATGCGGTGCATGGCAAAGCCCAGGTAGAGCACTGATGGCGTGGCCACCATGATGATCTGGAAGATCCAGAAGCGGACGTGGGAGAGGGGGGCAAAAGCGTCGTAGCAGACGTTCTCACAGCCCGGCTGCTGTGTGTTGCAGACAAACTTGCTCTGCTCGTCGTAGTAGATGGACTCACCCCCCACGGCTGTCAGCACGATGCGGAAGACAATGAGGACAGTCAGCCAGATCTTGCCTACAAAGGTTGAGTGGTTGTTGATCTCCTCCAGGAGCCGTGTCAGGAAACTCCAGCTCATCCTGGCAAGGCAGTTGACTCAAACCCTGTGGGGAAGGGGCAGGCAAACAGGCACTGAGAGAATCTGCATGCACCTCACAAGACTCCCCAGTCCATCAGATTCCATCCCAGCTCCCTCCTGCTCCCTTTCCCACCAATATCCCTTCCCTTACCCACAGATCCACAAACACAGCCCTGCTCAGGCAGCCATCTCCCCAAAACTTCGTCCCCCACCACGCAATGCCTTCCTATGCTCCCATCTGCATCCTGCTCCCGCCCTGTCACCAGCCAGGTGGGTGGACGGAACTTGGAGAAAGGCTGGGACATCCTGGTTACCTGCAGGGACACATCTAGGGGAAAAGTCAGCACAGTCACAGCCAAACACGTCAGCACAGGGCAGCACCAGCTGGGGACTGTGAGGGGGCAGGCAGAGGCAGAACCACATCCTCTCCCCCATTTGCCATCTGGCCCTGGGCAGGTCTTCAACAAGTGCTGCACCCTGTGACAGCACCCACACCCTCCCACAGGGGTCCACAGGCCCCTAGAAGGCATGCAGCAGCCCCACTGGCCCACTGCAGCTGCCAGCCCTGAGCCCTGGCCAAGGCGGGATCCCCTGAGGAGCACCCCCCACCATGTGCTCAGGAACCAGGTGTTCTGCACCCCACAGAGCTCTCCCCTGAGGGCCAGCAGAGATGCAGCATCACTCTGCCCCTCCAAAACTCTGTGCTGTGCCCTTTCACCTGCAGGACCCCCAGCCTCCAAAGCACACAGTGGCCAGTGGTCAGAGCAGCCTGAAGGCCGATGGCAAGGGCTGGCAGGGGGAATGGAACAGGAGGCAGGACAGTGATAGCAAGGGGCAGCGTGGGGCAGCCAAGGAATTGCACAAAGCCCTGGCAAAGCAGCTGACACCAGAGAGCAGGGAGGAAATTACAAGGACCACATCGCAGCTCCCAGCCAAAGGAGAAGACGCAAGAGGAGACACCCCACTGCCACCCCTGGTTTCAGCAGCTTGTGCATGAGATGATGCAAGGGCAGCAAGTGGCAGGGCTGCCTAGGGCAAGCAGAGGGGATGCTCCCCAGTTTCCCCTGCCAGCCCCATCCCATCACCTCCAGCCATGGCATGTCCCTAAGGATGATGGCTGCCACTGCACTCATGTGACTATTGTCCAGAATAAGAGGATCTTTCAGGCTTAGTTCAGCCTGCCTCCTGACCAACCCCACCTAAACAGAAGAGCTGCTCCAGCACAAGCATCCATGCTGGGGACATGCTCTTGCTGACAGCCTGGTGCCCAGCAGAGCCTGCTGAGCTGTGGGAGGTGGCACAGGCTGGCACTGGGGTCCAAACCCAGCCCATCAGGGCCACGATCCTTCTGTGGTCAAATGCCCTGCAAGATCTCACTGCTGCCCTGTACCACAAGGGCCCTCTCCCCCACCACCTCACTGGAAGGAGGATGCTTTGTGCCTCCTTTAGCCAGTGTCTGCAGCAGCACACTGCCCTAGCATAAAGGGTGAGGGGCTGGGGCAGAGAACAAGGTGAGGGAACCAGGCAGGAGGGCAGCCCTGGGAGGCATCAAGCACATGGAAAGCAAAAACACACGTTGGCATTGTAGTGGTGGCCATGGAAGAATGACATAGGGATGGCCAGCAGCATGGAATGGCAGCAGCAGTGGGCATGGCCAGGGCAACATAGAGCTGCCCTCAGCTTCTCCCCCACCAGAGGCAAGTGGCCAGAGTCCAGCTCTGCCAAGGGGCACAGCCATCCAGAGACTCCTGGCCATGCTGGGAGTCAGGACTAGCATCACACACGTTGGCTGGGCCCTACACCTATGCCTCAGCCCTACTCACCCCAGTCCCCCCACCTGGGGCCCTCAGTCACCTCCACCCCTGACTGCATTGTCGAGGGCTCCCAGCCTCCCCTGCCCAGGAGCATAGCAGCAGGCATCCACTTTGGGGCTCACCAGCCCCTGCCCGCCTGGGGACCCCTGTTCCACTGACCCCTGCCACTCTGGGGACCCAGCCCACAACCCCAGCCTTCCCGGGGTCCCCAGTCCCACTGACTCCAGCTCAACGGGGGCCTCATGCCCAGCTGCCCCCACCACCTGCCCGCGCCCCCCAGCCCCTCGATCCTCCCTGCCCGCGCCCCATCCCACGCCTGGGGCTCTCGCCTCCCGGGGCACCGTCGCCTGCCCACCTGCCTCCCCCTGCCCACCGCCCCGCGCCCTCCCGCAGCCCCCCGCTTCCCGGCCCCACTCACGGCGCACCGGGACGAGCGGCTCCCGCCGGCAGCGGCGGACAAAGCGGCGGGGCGGCGCGCCGCCGCCTCCCGCCGAACAAAGGGGCCCGGGGCCGCGCCGCCCCGCCCCGCGCCCCCCCGCCCGCCGGTGCGTACCGACCGCCCCGCTCCGTACCCCCGCCCCGCCCCGCACCGGCCGCCCCGCTCCGCTGCCAGTGCCCCGCTCCGCGCCGGCCGCCCCGCTCCCCCCGCCGGCCGCGCCACGCGGCGCGGGGCTCTGGCCCCGTTCCGGCCGGTCCCGCGCCCCCCGGGCGGTGCCGCCCTCCGTTCCCCCCGCCCGCGGCTTGGGAGGCCGCGCAGGACTGCGGGCAGGGGCCGGCGCCGGCCGAAACTCGCCCGGAGGCGGCTCCCGCCCCACCAGCTCCATCCAGCCGCCGGCTGTCCGGCTCCCGCCCTCGGCCCCGCGCCCCCGCGGAGCCATTGGCTCCCGGGAGGCTGCTCCCGGGAGGCGAAGCGAAGCGGAGGCTTCCTGCCCACCGCAGGAGAACGCTCAGAACCGTGGGTGCGGCTCAGCCCGCGGGGTGTTGGGGGGTGAGCCCAGCCGCAGAGAGAGAGGAGGGAGCCACCGCTCCGGCCGTGAGAGTCTCCTGCACAATAACCTCCTGCCCCTCGTGGCATTCTTCCCCTCCGAGTGGAGAGAAAGTATGGAAGAAAGGAGAGATCCGATGGCGCGGCCTCAGGCATGGTGGGAACGCAGAGGAAGATGTGTCTGTGTGGTGGGAATGTGCCTCAAACCTTTTGAAGCCCGTGCTGCTTCTTGTGTTCCAGACCAGGTCCCTGCGTGTAACTGACCATGCAGTACCTCCAGATATGCCCTTATAGTCACCGCTGTTCCCCCAAGGCCAGCACAATGGCAGCAGTGGCTTTGAGTCACTCTGGAGCAGTGGGGCTGTCCCTCCATTCAAGCAACCCAGCCACTCACTTTCTGCACTGCTAAAATTGGCTCTGTGGAGATTTTGTTGGTGCTGAGTCTCCATGCTGTTGGGCCAACCACACCAGTGTTGTCCTGGGTAGAGCATCCTGTCCTTGTGCCCTGGTGTGGGGACGAGGAGGGATGCCAAGCAGCCTTGCACAACCCAAACACTCAGGGGAAAGCTGTGTTGCGTGAGCTCATGAAATGCTGTTTCTCCTCAATGAAACGTGGTCCCTTCTGCAGAAGGGTTTCCACAAGCTGCACTAGTGGGTTCAGCACTGGGGGCTGGCTGGGGGAGGACTGATACCTTGAGGCTGGGGCAAGGAGAGGGGTAGGAAGTGTGGCTGGCACATCTAGTGTGGGTTTTTTGTTACTCTGCAGCAGCCCTGCTGCTTTCCTAAGTCAGCAATGCTACCATGGCATTGTAACAGCACTCGCAGAGCCCAGGCACAGACTTGGTGCTCTTACATGGGAGGGCTACTGAAGCACCCCCAAGAGCAATGGGCTGCACCCTGACATGGGTGTGGGTGTGTGCACAAGAGGCTGGGCAAAAGAGCCCTGCTTTCAGCTCCCTTGCTCAATCCTTCCTTCTTCCCAGTTCATGAATGTATCAGTCTCCTCCTATGGAGGGAGAGCTGCTGCAGAAGAGAGGGGATTTGACCTGGATATGAAGAAACGCTTTCCATAGAATCCTGTTCCTATGCATGCAACTACAGCATTAATGTTTCTGTACAGGGAATAAATGCATGTTTCAGATTTAGCACAGACACTCTGGTCACAATCTCCATCACAGGTCAGGAGAAACAGGAAGACATGGATGCAGGGAGGCATTAAGTGAAGCACAGAGACTCAAGCTTTTGGAAGGATATAGGGAAGCATTCAAGGCCAGAAAAACCCTTCTTTTGCAGGTCAGCATGGAGAGGTGGGAGCAGGGCAGGGGGCTGCCAGCATGAGGGCAGCATCCCATCATGCTGGGGATGTCAAGCAGCACACTGCCTATGTTGAACCTCCTGCTCTTGCCAGGCAATTAAAGTGGCTTGGGGCTTTCTTTCTCACAGTCACCACTAGTTTTCAAGTGCTTCCAGGTCTCACCCCCAGCTGGCTTCACCCAGGTAGCCAAGGAGTTTGCCAGAGGTAAGGGATCTTTGACTCTGATGCTCACCGTGTTAAGAACAAGCCCCCGTTTCACCAGCCTCCCATTAAAGTGAGGAGTGTGACCCCTGAGGCACTGCAAACTGAAGCTGTTGAACCCAGAATGAAGCTGCTTGTTGGGCGGGGTCAGGCACTGCTGCTGCAGCATTTTTGCGCAGCACAGCTCAGCTCATGCCTGGACTGTGGGACAGAGCTTGCCTTGGGAGGCCAAGCCCAGGGGGTGGTGTTGCCCACCCCATGGACAGTCATTACTGTGCTTGTCGGCATCCGGCCATTGGCATCAGAGCCGTCCAGCTTCCCTTGTGATGGTACCCTACGTGTTCCTGGGCTCTACCCTTTTCTTCAGCTTGCAACATCCAAATGTCCGCAGAGGCATCGCCCTTTCAGCCTGGGACAGAGGGCAAACCCACATCATCCGGGAAAGGAACAGTGGATAAAGGGTGTTGCCTACCCGCATCCCTTTCCACATCAGCTGAGGCTGACAGAGCATCGTGGGCAGGAAGGATGTACAGACCAGCAGCATTGTGGGCTCAAAGATCAGCTTTGCAGAGGAAACAGGGGCACCGTCACCAACCGCAAAAACCAGGATCAGCCCCAAACTACTGAGTCTGTGTAGCAGAGCCATGACAGGGCAGCTGCACAGCCCACCAAGAGCAAGGGGAGCTGGTGATAGAGGAGATAGTGGCTGAGGGGGAGCATAAGCGCAGGGATAAGAAGAACATCCACTTCTGGGACAGGCACTACAGCTCAGGAGAGACATGGCAAGAGCTCGCACAAGCAGTTCTTCCTCACTGTTCAGCCACAGTGCTGCAATGGAAGCACCCTCTGCGACTGCACTGCCAGCCCCTGCCTCAGCTGCCAGACACAGGGTGCAGGGAGTGTGCAGCCCAGTCTGGATCTCAATAGCAGCCTCAGTTTCTGCTCTGATCAATAGAGCAGAATGGGCTGGGCCCTGCTATGACTGCCTCTGCTTTCAGGGATGGTGGCAGTGAGGCAAATGGTGGGGTTGGGTATCCTGGTGTGTTTGCTTTGGGGCGACATGGACCATGCCTGGCTGCTGCTTGGCAGCGGGGCGAGGAAGGCAGCTCCACCCTCCCCGAGCAGGGCCATGAGCAGGTGGCACTGCAGGTAGGCAGCACATGTCCTCAGCAGCAAACACCCTCTTCCCAGATTAAACAACTTGTCTGGCACTGGGACAGGGAGCAGACAGCTCTATTAGGGACTGTTTGTCCTGATACAAGACAGCTCCATAACTAGCTTAATAACCTTCTGATAACAGGCAGAGGCACACTCTGTTAAAAGAGCATAAAGGGCAATGACCGTCCCCTCCAACACAGGCTGAGAGAAGGCTGGGATGGCTTCAAAATAAAGTCCCTTTCCCTTTCACCCCCCCACTTGATTATGCAGCACAGTGGGGGGTACATGGCACAGCCCCTGCTCACCTCTCTTGTGCTAGGGTCTCCTTCCCAGTTCCTGGGTGCTGACTTCTGCCAGCACCATGTGCGGCACTTAAGCCCAGTCGGTGTTGGCTGCTCTTCCTCTGCCAGCCAAGCTGGAGGGCAGCCCACAGGGAAGGGGTTTACATGGCCCTGGGATACTGCTCTCTATGCTGGGTAAGGAGCATTGGCACCTCCAAGGGATGGAGCTGGCCAGGCAGGTCCATGAGCCACAAGCAACATGTACCCTTTACTGCTACATCTGTAGTCCCCTGGAGATGAGGTCAGCGGGGATATTCTGCCAAAAGTAAATGACCAATCACTCCAGTCACCCAGTTTGATTAGAAACAAGGCTTCACTAGTTCAACATAGTGCAAGGGGGCTGACAGCTAACCCACGGGCTGTGAATGCTCAAGGCAGTACTGTTTTAGAGGGCAGACATGCAGCAGAAAGCACTGAAACTTGTGACTGAGACATTGAACAACAGATTAAGGCAGGGCTGGTATGTGCCCATGGAAAA